CCTATTAATGGTGGCTCAACTGACTTAAAGTCATAATTACGATGAATTTGTCGTTTTCTCACGAAAATAGAATTCATTTCTCCTTGTAAGCTTGTGTGTGTATCATGATATTTGGACTCTCAAACCAACTAAATATTCAATGCACCTTTGTTTAGATATGGGATTCCCCTAAAGAAGTTCTTCTTGTTTCCTATATGCGCTTTGATTAATAATAATCGAAAACGATAATTAATGTTTGAAAGTGATTTTGAAAATAGTTCTTCCTTGTCACATTAGCACGTGGCTAATCTTACTTTTGCGCCCATGAAAAGTATGTTTAATTGATTAAATTAATTCATTAATAAATTTTTTATTTAATTATTAATAATAGTTTGTTTCGAAAGAATTCCGAAGATCAATCACTAAGAAGAAACTAACCTCGAGCTTGTTCAATTTTCGAGTGAGTATGCATTGTATTATATGTGTTATGGATTTTTATGTAACTATGATACCAAAACTACTCTACTAAATAAGATCATATCGAGTGTAATACAAATATAGGTGTTCATATGACTCGATAACCAAATTATAAAAGTGGGTACGGTCCGGAAAAATGCAACAGGAACAAGGAGAGAGAACGACATCACATAATTCAATTATGAAATAATTAATTTATTAGGTTTCAATCGTGATTGAACCCTTAATTTATTGACATAAAGTTTGAATGAATCCAATGAACTTGCTTCTACCACCCAACAAAGTAGACTTCAAGTCTTTTTAGCAATTTTCAATAAATGTGTTCATATGTAGTTTGTTCTTTTTTTATAATTGTGCTTTTTACATGTTTCAAATGTTACTTTCTTCTTTGTTTTTTCCTCTTATTTTTTTAAAAAGTTAATAAAATCCTAATTTTCGTCCAAAATTCTAACAGATTTGTATTTTAATAGTAGTTTTTAAACGTTTAAGACATAACAAAATTACGACTCTCTCGAAGAAATTGGGATACTTACGAAACAAAGAACAAACTTTTAGCAAACATCAAAGAAATATATGAACATTCTACAGAAAGATGGTGGGAGCTGTTTGATGCTTCTCATCTTGCCTATCACGAAAATGGAAATTTGATGTGATCACATTACTCACGTCCGAGAAATGGCATGAACGGTAGGTCTGTCCTAAACACCGTTTTCTTGGGGGCTTCTTGGCACGAATCGCCAAAGGTCCACGGCAATGTTGACCTCTTTTCTCTTGTGAAATTTGTAAAGTTGGGGCACGTCGTATCGAAGCTAAGAGAAAGAAAGAAACAAATGGCTAGATTAGAACTAGAGGTTGATTTGACTTATAATTGAATCATATAATAACATGAATAGCCTACTGCAAGAAGGAAGCATAAATATCATTGGAACCCCAACAAGTAGTTACCGACCTCGCATAAAACCTCAGCACTTTGGGCACCGTAATCCCGCAAAGCTGCACGTTTTATATGCTGTTGCAATGAAATTAAAAGTTATTATTAAAAAAACAAAAAGAAGAAGAAGAAAAGACTTCAGAGGTTAGCACTTCGATTTATTGTTTGGAAGAACATTCAAATAAATCATGCCTTTCTAGATTGAATAGCTAACTGCCTTGTAAGATCCCACGTCGATTGGAGAGGAACGAGACACTGGATCCCAAAGGGGTGGATTGTGAGATTTCACATCAGTTGGAGAGGGGAATGAAGCATTTTTTATAAGGGTGTGGAAACCTTTCTCCAATAGACGCGTTTTAAAAACCTTGAGGGGAAGCCCGAAAGGGAAAGCCCAAAGAAGACAATATCTCTTAGGGGTGGACTTGGGTTGTTACATGTCTAAAGACGTTGCTAAAAGAAGGTTAACACTAGCAATCTAGATGCAGAGGGTGATTGGTTAAGGGAAAAGACAGTATCAAAACTAAGCTACAGATGAAGTTTACACTTCCTATCCAATTCCTACAATATCGTAAGAGGAATCCTCGAATTGAAAAGACGGAAATATTATATAAAGTGAGCTGCACGAATACCCTTTTCAAGGTTAAAGAAGCAGTTAATAGTTGCTCCATTATATTCATCCCACTATATTAGTTATAACAACCCAAGCCCACCGCAAGCAGATATTATTCTCTTTGGTCTATCCCTTCTGAGCTTCCCCTCAAGGTTTGTAAAACGCGTTTGCTAGGGAAAGGTTTCCACACTCTTATAAAGAATATTTCGTTCTCTTCCTCAACAAACATGGGATGTCACATTAGTAACCATGTAATGAACCGAACGAACAAGATAACACCAACCCCAACCAAGTGGCAGTGTGTAGAGTTCTAAATGGCATTGAGTTTGAACAGTTAAACTTACATCTCTTGTTGAGGTCTTGTGCAAAGAATAAACTGCTTTGGATGCAAGCTGAAAAGAAATTTCAAAGAATAAGAGTCAATGAGAAAATGTTGTACATATGTACTCGAGCATCTTAGTCGGATACCAGAACTGTAATTACCTTCAAAGCTGCAGAAAGGAATTCCATATCTGCACCCTTTCGCCGTGTTCCAAATGGTGGATTCATTACAATGGTATCAAAAACCTGACCTGACCGTATACCGGATGTGTTAAATGTAGTTACAAACAAGAAGCTCGAAGAAGAATACACAAGACACCAATAGCCATTATAACGCTACCGCTCAATTCTATCAAACTAAGCCAGAAAAACTTTCACGCACACATGCAGTTATTCTCCAATGAATTCAGTGAAAAACATCACTTCGTTGAATCATAACAGAGACAGAAAATACATTTTTCATCAAGACATACTTTTTAAAAAACTAGAACAAATTGTACTACACGTTATAGTTTACAAGCATGCACGATCCCGATGAGAGTGGAAAGATAGAAAGTTCGCAAGCACAGTATTCCAGTTCGTTACCTCTCAATACCAAGTTCTTTACATCACACTGAACCAAGTCCATTTCCAACTGCAATTTTCAACGGATCAACTAAAATAACAAGAGCAATGAAGACTATACCCTGGCATTCATACATAAAGTGAAAATATAGGACCTCAAGATACTCTGCATTTGAAGATGCTATTTCAAGAGATTCAGGATCAATGTCAATTCCTGTAACATGTCTGTCCAAGAATTGTAAGACTGGAAGCATTGCATATGTTTGAATCAAACATATTCTGAACAAAAACATTTTATCCGCTTCCTTTATAATAAAAACTAGATCGATAATTTTCAACTGAAACACTAAAAGACTAATAAGCCAAGAGGAAATAGAACAGAGGAACAGGGGAAAGATGGCACTAACTCTGCACCCAGCAGCGCAGCTGCAGCCCCTAATGTACCACAACCACAACCCAAATCAGCTACTATCTTGCCACTAACGTCTCCAAAAGAATTCTCTGCCTGGTAAAGTTTCAAATGAATGACCCTCGTTATAAATTATGATTGCATAAAACGAACAAGCAAAAAACGTAGAAACTTATAGTTTCATCACTACATCTGAACCTGCAAATGGATATAAATTTTAACTTCACTGTGTTATAATGAATCGTTAAAGATACTATTCGACAGAAACATATGATCCTTTGTTCTAAACGATTTGGTTTTCGATTGAATCACTCAGCACAATGGATGTTCTAAACAACAGTTCCTTTAAGAATCAAAGAATTCGAGCTTAAGCAAAGAGGAGAAGATGAACGCAGAAGAGGGAAGAGAAATACGGTGTACAACATGCGAGAAGCAATGTGCGGTCCAGTTGGGTACTGCTCGAGCTCCACCTGCAACAGGAACGAATTTTCCAGAGTTTGTTGATTCAAAAATTGCCGAAACCGGGAAGGAGATGAAGAAATGAACGAAAACCGCAGACGAAATCAAACCTTTGGATTGGAGAACTGTTGAATTTCACCGAGGAAGGACTCTAACTGCTTGAGCTTCATCCTTGTTTGGAGAGAATCTTGATGAATCCGTTTCTTGATAACCCTAATTTAGCCGATTAACCTTTCTGAAAAAAGGCGAGGATATCCTGTTCCAGTTGACAAGTCATCTCTGATTCTACTCGATCTTCGTTAGTAAAAGTTAGGTTTTTCAAAAAAAAAAAAAAATTAATAAAAAAATTTCTAAATTATATAATTTTTCATCTTTTACGAAATTTCTAAAAATGTTAATTCATTATTTATTTTAAAAATACCTTTAAAGCATTAAAATTTCAAATATGTCTTGAACTTAAAAAAAAAAAAATTCAAATATTTTTTTAAAATTAAAAAAAACATTATTGAAATTTTAAAGGTATCATTAATTCCCTTGATCTTAATAAAAAATTTAACTAAAATATTAATAATACCACTACTGAATTTCAGGGTTTCAAAAATATTACTTTAAAAAAAATGTTTCAAAATATTTACCTTTGAATTTTTAAAACTTTTATTAAAAAAAAAAAGTTAAAAATACTTTTAGTTTATTAAAAAAATAAAAATTATTACTATAAACAAAAACTATCTATCACGTCTCATAGTTGATTTTCAAACTTTTTAATGTTACTGAGACATGGATAGACCGTTTTTGTTTATAGTAATAATTTTTAATTTTTTTAATAAACTAAAGATGTTATTTTTAAAATTTTATGAATATTATTTTTAAAGAGAGTATTTTTTAATTTTTTTAATTAAAAATTTAAACTTTTTTTTAATCCAAAAACTCATAGTAAAATTATTTTAAAATTTAAAGTTATTATTAAAATTTTAAAAATGTAAGAATAAATTAAAAAAAAACATCAAAATTTAAGGATGATTTTATTAACTTAGCATAATTTAAAATAGGATCGACATGTCGTTCTACGGTCACATTTATTCAAATTCTCGAGGGAAGAGAATGATTTGACAGCTTTACCGCCCTCTTAATCCAAATCGCAAACTAATAATACTTGGAAATTCAAATTTTATATTTTATACTATTTTATTCTTTTTTTAAAATATTAAATATTTTATAAAATCCAAAGCCCTTGGCTTCCGAGGTGATAAACATGGCATTCAAGAGGTGGAATTGTGTGGTTGGAGGCCATTAATGGCCGCAGTGACAACAACCGGAGGGTCCCATCTCACCCATTTCAGGTACCATTCCAGAGAGAGAAACAGCCTCGTTTCGCGTTGCGCGCATTTCAAAACCTTTGTCTCTGAGATTTGAATGCTACGATTAAAACCCCCTTTTAACCATTGCCGCCATTCTTACACTTCCATTCCGATTCTCTTTACTTTCCCCAATCTGTTCTTCTTTGGAGGATTTTGAGGTCTTATTTTGGATGATGAGCGCTTCCAAGTTCATTAAATGCGTCACTGTTGGAGATGGAGCTGTTGGGAAGACCTGTATGCTTATTTGTTACACCAGCAATAAGTTCCCCACTGTGAGGCCTCTTTTTCAGATCATTTAATGCTTAATCTGTTGGATTATGAGTTTATTTTCTCTCATTTTGTGTTTAAATTTGTGCCTCGGTTAGATAAAAGTCCCAGATCGGCTAATTTACTGCTAACTTAGAGAATGTTCATAAGTTTATTATAATCAAAGAATATTCTCGGATTGGGGGCGGATGATTTAATGCTTAATCTGTTGTTTTCTCTCATTTGTGTTCAAATGTGAGCTGCAAGAATGTTACTGCGTAACACTAAGCTTGAGTAGCTGAATATGAGCTGCGAGTTCATAGACTCTAAGCTTTTTACCCATTTTCTCTTCATTTCATTTGTTTAAACTTCTGCTGCAACTCTGAATTTGGGTACTTCATAGTGGAGTTCTCTTTCTCCCTTGATGATTTTTTACCCATTTTCTGAACGTTGATGATTTTCTCCGGCATTCTTCTGTTCTCTTTTTTAAATATGAGCTGCAAGTACATAAACGTTAAGCTTTAGACCGTTGCTAATAGTATCATAGTCTGGATAATGTGCTAGCAAGGACGATGGGTCCCGAATAGGGTAGATTGAGAGGTCTCACATCGATTGGAGAGGGGAATGAATGCTAGCGAGAATATTAGGACCCGAAGGAGGATAGATTGTGAGATCCCACGTTCGGTTGGAGAAGGGAACGAAACATTCTTTATAAGGGTGTGGAAACCTCGCCCTAATAGATGCATTTTAAAAACCTTGAGGAAAAGCACAAGGAGGACAATGTAGCGGTTGACTTGAGCTTGGGCTGTTACAGGAACGAAACATTCTTCATAAGGGTATGAAAACCTCTCCCTAGCCGATACGTTTTAAAAACCTTGAGGAGAAGCTCGAAAGGGAAAGTCCAAAGAAGACAATATCTACTAGCGGTGGCCTTAGATTGTTACAAATGGTATCAGGGCCAAACACCGAGCGATGTATCAGCGAGGACACTGGGCCTCCAAAGGGGGTGGATTGTAAGATTTCACATAGGTTGGAGAGGAGAACGAAATATTCCTTATAAGGGTGTTGAAACTTGTTCCTAACAGACACGTTTTAAAACTGTGAGACTAACAGTGATACGTAATAGGCTAAAACGGACAATATCGGTGGACTTGGGCTGTTACGATCTCTCTCCCTTGCAGGTCGATCAGCCCCTCTCTCTCTCTCAATAATGCTAGTTTTCTCCCACTTTAATTTATTTCCTTCTTTAAATAAAGGCTGCAAGGACATAAATATTAAGCTTGAGCAGTTGAAACTGGAGCTCTCTCTCAACATTAGTGGTTTTGTTTTATATTTGGCAGGATTATATTCCCACAGTGTTTGACAATTTCAGTGCCAATGTGTCTGTGGATGGGAACATTGTGAATTTGGGGTTATGGGACACTGCAGGTAGAACATGGTCTCCTTGAATAACAAGACGAAGGCCTTTCTTTCTCATTCAGTTATTATCTTTACTGTTTGTTCTTTGTTTTGTAGGTCAGGAAGATTATAGCAGGCTAAGGCCTTTGAGTTACAGAGGTGCAGATGTGTTTGTTCTAGCTTTCTCATTAATTAGTAGAGCCAGCTATGAAAATATCCTCAAGAAGGTACTCATTTCATAATATAGGAAACCAATCTGTTCTTCTAGATTACAAGAAGCATAATCCTACTCCGACTAGTGCCTCGCACAGTCCAGTGACTGGCTCTAATACTATTTATAACAGCCCAAGCCCACCACTAGCGGATATTGTCTTCTTTGGGATGTTACAAATGGTATCAGAGCTAGTCACCAGACGGTACAAGTCACTGGTTGGAGCAGGACTAGACCTTCTCCATAGTAGACGCGTTTTAAAACCTTGAGGGAAAGTTTTAGAGAGAAAACCCAAACTTTCATCGAGCTATGAAGATAATTATGTTGTTAGTGATGGTGGGTCCATCAACCAATCTGTTCTTCAAGATGACAAGAAGCGTAGTCCTACTCTGACGAGTGTCTTGCACCGTCTGATGACTAACTCTAATACCATTTGTAATAGCCCAAGCCCATTGTTAGCAGATATTGTCTTTCTTTGGGCTGTTACAAATGGTATTAGAGTCAGTCACCGGACTGTGCGAGGCACTGGTCGGAGTAGGGCTAGACTCTCTCCATAGTAGGCATGTTTTAAAACCTTGAGAGGAACCTCGGAAGGGTAAGCCCAAACTTTTATCAAGCTACAAAGATAATTATGCTGTTAGTGATGGTGGGTCCATCAACCAATCTATTCTTCTGGATGACAAGAAGCTTAGCCTTATTCCGACCTGTGCGTCGCACCATTCGGTGACTGGCTCTAATCCATTTATAACAGCTCAAACCCACCGCTAGCAGATATTGTTTTTTTTGGGCGGTTACAAATGGTATTAGAGCCAGTCACCAAACGGTGCGAGGCACTGGTCAGAGTAGGGCTAGACCCTCTCCATAGTAGATGCGTTTTAAAACCTTGAGGGAAAATCGAGAAGGGAAAACCTAAAGAGAACAATATCTGCTAGTGGTGGGCCTGAACTGTTACCAAGACCCGAACTTGAGAAACAAAGTACTGTATTGGTTTGTTGGATTCTAGTGTAGTTTTTAACTATATTGCTTTATTTTGATCTCACAGTGGATGCCTGAACTGCGAAGATTTGCACCCAACGTCCCGATCATTCTAGTTGGAACGAAGCTCGGTAGGTGGTCGAAAGTAACTCGTCGATCATTTTGATGATACGTGTCGTTTTATTAATGTCCATTTTGTTTAGATCTCCGTGAGGACCGACGATATGCTAACGAACAAATGGGGTATGATATCATTACTTCTTCTCAGGTTGGTTCCTCAATTCTTGGTTCTTTTTTTGTTTTCCAATGTGAAATGTAATGTTTGTAGAAAGTGAAGCTCAACTTTTGTGAACTTAACATCATGATGCAGGGTGAGGAGCTGAGAAAACAAATTGGTGCTTCAGCTTACATTGAGTGCAGTTCTAAGACACAACAGGTAGACAACATAGAAAACTGTTCTAATTTTTGTGGAGAATTTGTTTTAAAATGTGTCTACTAAGGAGAGGTTTATGCACCTCTGGTAAGGAACACTTTATTTCTCTTTTCAACCGATGTGGGGACCATTGTCTTTGCTTCTGGGCTTCCCCTAAAGGTTTCATTCCTCTTTCCAATCGATGTGGGATCTCACAATCCACCCCCTACGGGACTAGCGTCCTCGCTTCTGGGCTTCCCCATGAGGTTTCATTTCTCTTTCCAACCACACAATCCACCCCCTGTAGGACCAGCGTCCTCGCTTCTGAACTTTTCCTCGAGGTTTCATTTCTCTTTCCAACTAATGTGGGATCTCACAATCCATCTCTACAGAATTAGGGCTTTCCCTCAAGGTTTCATTCCTCTTTCCAGTCGATGTGGATCTCATAATCTTCCCCTTCGCGGGACCAACGTCCTCACTTCTAGGCTTCCCTCGAGGTTTTAAAACACGTCTGTTAGGAAGAGGTTTCCATACCCTTATAAAGAATGTTACGTGCTCCTCTCCAACCAATGTTTTGATCTAACAATCCCTCCTCTTGGGGGCCAGCGTACCAACATGGGATATACCAATCCCCACCCCCCCTCCCTTGAGGGTCGACATTCTTCCTGACACACCGTCTAATGTCTAGCTCTGATACCATTTGTAACAGTCCAAGCCTACCACTAACAGAAATTGTCATTTTTTAGCTTTCCCTTCTGAGCTTCCTCTCAGGGTTTTAAAATGTGTCTACTAGGAAGAGGTTTCCACACCCTTATAAGGAATACTTCATTCCCTTTTCCAACCGACGTGGGATCTCACATTTTCTTTTGAAAGTGTTTTGTTCTTTTTAAAAGGAAAGGGACCATGCCCTTTAATGAACAATATATCTAACTAGAGCTCTGTGGTTGATTCTTTAGAATGTCAAAGCTGTATTTGATACAGCCATTAAAGTTGTTCTGCAACCTCCAAGGAGAAGGGAACTCCCAAAGAAGAAAACGCGTCGAGGATCAGGCTGCTCGTTCACGTAAGTAGCTCTACCCCGACCCCCGACCCCCTCCCCATCTTTTTCATACTCACTGTTACAAATTTAAGTAAACTTGTTCTTGGTACATACGAAACCATAGCAGGAGCATCATTTGTGGAGGCTGTGCTGCCTAGAACACATCGCGCAGTTCGGTTCGATACAGATCTAGCTCACCCCAACAGCTAATCACACCTCTCTATGTATTTGTTAACTTGAAAATTGGAGGGAATTGTTCATTCTCTCAAGAACTTATGGTATATATTGTAGCCTTCTTGCTGTTATGGTTCAACTGATTTGAATGCAAAGGGTCCTACCTTGGTTAGCTTTTGGGCTCCCTCTCTTCAACTGTAAAATCTTGAAAAGTTTAAATGATTTAAGAGTAATATTATAATTTTTGAAAGAATATGATTATTCTAAGTTGTCCAAATACTTTCCACAGGTGCTCGTAGAATCCGTTGGGTTGGGTTAGGACATTTTTTAGATTAAACCCTATTCGAGCTATAAATTTTTTTAACCCAAATGGGGAGTTGGTGGAGTGTTTGATTCAAAATTTTGTTTTTAATAAAAGTAAAATTAGTGGTAAAATATATATTTATTTATTTTTAATATTTTAATTAAAATTTACCTCTCAATTTAAATATATATTTTGAAATATAAAAAGTTAAATAAAATAAAAACATTTATATGTAAATGTGTTGTTAACAAAAAAAAAAATATATGGAAAGTAAATTATTTAAATGGTATTTTAACTTAAATTATAATATTTCCATATTTATATTAAAATCTTTCCAATTTGTATAATAATTTGGTTATGTTAATATGATAAATTAATCACGGCGGCATTTCCCTTCGGTTGTTCACCGTCCGGCGACTTGTTCCTTTTCACCTTCCGGCGAAAATTAACTGTAACTGTAAGGATTTTCCATAACCCCTTTCTTCAAAAACCCTAGAACGCACACTCCAAAATCGTTCACAAATGGAACCTCCACCGGCCAAGAGCTGGAGCATCCACACTCGGCCGGATATCATCCAGAAGTACCAGATCCTCGAGCGAGTCGGATCCGGTGCTTATTCCGATGTTCACCGTGCGCGACGGCTCTCCGACGGCGTCATCGTCGCTTTGAAGGAGATCCACGATTATCAATCGGCGTTCCGCGAAATCGAGGCGCTCCAAATCCTTCAAGGTTCGCCTAATATCGTCGTTCTGCACGAGTACTTTTGGCGCGAAGATGAAGATGCCGTGCTTGTTCTCGAGTTTATGAGAACGGATTTGGCCACCGTTATAGCGGAGGCGAAGAAGCGAGGGTCGGACGGGGTAGAATCCGGGCGTGGGCTAGCGGTCGGTGAGGTGAAGCGGTGGATGATCCAGATTTTGAGTGGTCTTGATGCTTGTCATAGGAATATGATCGTGCATAGGGATTTGAAACCTAGCAATTTGTTGATATCCGATGATGGCGTGCTCAAGCTTGCCGATTTTGGACAGGTTATTCTCTTTCAATCTTCTTTTTAGTATAAGATCCGCAAGGAAAGAGCTTACCGAATATAATTACAGTCGAATGTGGAGATTCTTTACACACTCTGTTCCTCAAATTTAGCTCGTTTTTGTGAGGAACCACTTTGAAAGGTCCATTCAACTCATTGCTTGTAGATTGTTCCCCGCAGAATTTTGAGAGAAGTAACCTGAAATTTTGATTAAATGCAGTATTCATCTGTTCATATTGAAGGTTTTTTATCTTTTTTTTAATACCAAATTCTAGCAGAAGATCCATGATGCTGAATTTTACTTGATATGCTGTAGGTGTGATTTCTGGACATTGATGCTTCTGTTCTTACCCGTTTTCTAACCATTTGGTTTTTCTTTTTGAAAATCAAGCTTATGAACAATATTTCCACCTAGGAATTTTTTGTTTTTGTTTTGTCATCTACTTTCTATGTTTTGAATTTCAAGCACAAAAAACCAAATGGTTATCAAAATGAAGATCGTTGTAAATAATTTCAAAAACTAAATGGTTATCAATGTTTTGAATCTGGAGTAAGAGTATGATATTGGTTTCTTGTTCATAAAAGAATGAGTTTGATGTTGGTTTTCAGGCAAGAATACTCATGGAGCCTGAATATGTTGAACCAAATGGGATCTCTCAACCATGTGAGATGAACTCTTCAGATCAAGTACCTGCTTCTCAGCCCTCTGCAATTTTTCCTGGAACGGAAAGCTCGGTTCGAGAAGGTAACAGAACTGAAGAGCAAGAACCAATTGGCAAGGAGGAATATTTTAGCGATTTAGGCGAGCTGAAAGCAAAAAATTCAGCAAATGAATTTGACAAGGAAACATATACTTATGATGGAGATACATCTTGCTTAGCAACATGTACCACGAGTGACCTTGAAGATGATCCATTTAAAGGTTCATCATATTCTTATGAAACTGAAGGAGGAGTTCCAGCAGATGATAGCCAAGGTTCGCTCACTTCATCCGTCGGTACTCGCTGGTTCAGGGCCCCCGAATTACTCTATGGCTCAACGAGCTACGGTTTGGAGATCGACTTATGGTCGTTGGGCTGCATTTTTGCTGAACTTTTTACATTGGAACCCCTTTTTCCAGGAACTGCTGACATTGATCAAATGAGCAAAATTTTCACTACTCTTGGCAACTTGACTGAAGATTCATGGCCAGGTTGTTCTGAACTTCCTGATTTCCATATTATATCATTCAACACAATAGAAAAGCCAATCGGTTTAGAAGCATGTCTTCCCAACTGCTCTCCTGATGAAATTTCTATTGTTAAAAGACTGCTTTGTTACGACCCGGCTAATCGAGCGACCGCTATGGAATTGCTCCAAGATAAGTATTTCACTGAGGATCCATTCCCAGTTCCGTTGGCTGAGCTTCGTGTTCCTTTGACCAGAAGTGGACAGGACGAGGATTCTCCTGCTGGATGGTACGATTACGATGAGTCCGATTCCGATATGGATGAACTCGGCCCCATGAACGTTACCACCAGTGCCACTGGTTACTCCATACAATTTGATTGAACAATGGGATTCAGGTGTTCCTAAATACTTGAAACTATACATGTTTCAGTTATTACTCATTTCTTATAAGGAAAGACTTCCTTGGTACATCCTGAAGCTCCCCAAAAGCATGGAGAATTTGGATAATGTCGGGACGATTATTCCGATACCCTTCATGAGGAATGTTGTGTTGGAGAGTTCAGAGGTCGGAATCGTCATTCCGATGTCGTTCTTGAAGAATGTCGGATCTGTTAATGTAATTTATGTATAATTGCACCACGAAAGATGTGAGTTTACCTCCCCTTCCTTTCATTTCAAGGACATCAAGCCTTGTTTTTGTGTGTCCCAAACTGGCCATGACTGTTGTCTTGCTTTGTGTTTAATGCTCTTTCTTGGAAATGGATACATTTTCAAGTCTTTCTGAAGCTGAACACTTCTTACTCTTTTTGGAAATGGATAGTTATCATCTTCAACTCGATCCGACCACGTACTCGAAAACAGAATCCTGCCTCTACAATTCCACTTAGCCACGTTCTCAAAAACAAATCTCGCATCTACAACTCGACCTAACCACGTACTTGAAAAAAAAATCCTGCCCCTACAACTCGACTTAGCCACGTTCTTGAAACAAAATCCTGAATTTACAACTCTGACTAACACATGCTCGAAACACAGAATCCTACCTCTACAGCTCAACTCGACCAGGTTCTTGAAAACAAAATCGTGCATCAACCAGTTATATATATGTCCCTTGAATTCTAATGAAAATATTTGGATTATTAAGATGAGGAAAAGGTTTCAATTTTGAATGAATGAATTAATAAAATTATTAGGCTGTCCGACTACTAGTGATAGTCTATTTAGCGCCAAATTTGTTATATTTCCTTTCTTTATTGAATGGAATCTTGGACTAATTCCCTCCTTTTGTCCTCACACTTTTCCACTTTATTCAGCCAATCAGTCATGCCCACGTGTCCATTAGATAATATCTTGTGGGGATATTTTGCGTGGCGGAATATTAATGGCTGTTTGATTTCCATGTGAAAAATACTGGATCCTTGCCCTCGACAATTTTGTCGAAAATCTACGGCCCTCAGAATCTGACGGTCCAAAATCTACGCAAGGCTCGCTTCTATGAATTTTTACCGTTGGATTATATCGAATTGTTTTCACCGTTAGATTTGACCATTGGCCTTAATCGCACCGTCCAATATTTACAAAATTGAAATTTCAAAATCTCGGAAGAGAGAGGGAGGAAAGAAGAAGAACAAAAGGCCTTTTTTGCTCCTATCCTTCCTCTTTCCTTCCGAGCTCTCTTCAATTCACAGTTCAAAAAACCCTAAATAATTTGATTCGTCTGCTCTGGTTTTTGCTTTCTCTGTGGTTACTGTACGCGAGGGCGACGGTCCTTCTAATTTTGGTTTTTTTGTTGCTGAGTTTCGGCGTAATATTTGAGCTTCAAAAGCATAATTTTATCTGGTGTTGGAATTTTTTCTGGCGGTGTTTTGATTGATATTTGGATCTGAAAGTTTGACGATTTGAAGTTGGCTTGGGGAATTCCATTTTTGAATTGAAGAGTTGATTGATTGTTCGAGTTTGATTTTCCTTTCTTGCGTATGATCTGGAATAGTGGCGAGATTATTGAAATTTAGGATTTAAATTTGATGGGGGAAGAAGATTCCGCAGGTGCACCTCAGAAGAAGGCTCAATCGGAGGGTGCTGCGTTGAGTAATTCTTCGTCATCGGATATTCCATCTAAGAAGCTCGCTAGGCAGCTCGATTTCACCGGCTATGGAGGCGCCTCGCATCCCCAATCTCATTCAGACCCGCATTCACAGCCACAGGCTCCATTAGTAGCTCAAAATCTTCCGCAAGCTCCGCCAAAGCCACCGCCGCAGATGGTGGCGGCGTCGATCGCATCTTTGGCGCCTCATTCGTCAGTAAGAGCTGTGTAAGTCTCTGCAATCTCGTTTGCTGAATTTAATGTTAAATCTTACAATAGAATAAGAATCTTTACTCAATCGGAGCTATTAACAATCCAATTTTGGTCTGAAGAAAACTCATCCAAACGCCTTGAATCTTTTTAGCATTATGAGATATCGCTTAATTCGACTCATTTCTACTCGATGCTTTAGCTTGCGGATTCACTTTGAGATGTACAGTTTTATGTTTTCGATTTGAAATTTGAAATTCACTTTAAGATGCATAGAGATTTGTGGCTCTTGATGTTGCTGTTCATCGTCTTAAATTTTCGCGCACGTTATTAGAAATTATTCAGTTAATATTAAGGGAGGGTACTTTTTTCTTAAATAGGAAACCAGAATCACCAATGCCAAGAGCAAGACCTGCCATTGAAGCTAAAGACAGTACTCCTAAGAAGCAAAAACAGTGTAACTGTAAACATTCGCGGTGTCTAAAATTGTAAGTTCATCATTCTTTGAGCTTCTGACAAACACTTTTTTACATTTTTTTCTGCTCTCTATTCAGTAATTTCTATGATGACACTGATATAGTAGATGCTTGTGTATGGAAACAAAAGATTTTTGGTGCTTGCAAACAGTTTCCTCATTTAGATATTTTTCCAAAAAAGAACAAAAAATTGACGTTTTGAAATTAGTTCCGCTGTATTATCTATTTCATTGTTTGCTTATATGTTTCATATATGCAACTTTTGGAGGTTTAGAGGCAAACTATGGCTTTTGGTGAAGGCTATTGCAGATATTATAATTTATAATTTCTCTCTTGCAGCTGCTTATCTCCTTGTTTTATCAATTCCTCAATGTGCGAATTTACGACTGAATTATAAAATTGTTGTGTTTATAAGTCATTTGCAAGTTATTGCTGTCAAATATCTTTATTTATTAGCAAAGAGTAATTTGCTCACCAATTTGAGCAGGTACTGTGAATGCTTTGCTTCTGGAATATACTGTGATGGTTGCAACTGCATAAATTGTTATAACAATGTTGAAAATGATACTGCTAGAAGAGAAGCAGTTGAAGCTACATTAGAGCGTAACCCAAATGCGTTTCGACCAAAAATTGCAAGCAGCCCTCATGGGATGCGGGACAACAGGGTATGAAAGTCGTTTGAATAACAATTGTTCTACCTTTTATACATATCATAGTTTGTGTCATAGCTCTACCTTTTGTTTTTATCAATCATAGCTTGTATTACAAGTTGCAGATTTTGCAGTTTATTATTAATTTTCTGAAATTTTTTGTGCAATCCCTTGGGGTTTCAACTAAACCAAAAAAAGGGTGAAAGGCCGGAATATCATTTGCTTGCACATTCCCTCCCGTTTTTTCCATTTAAAATCTTCGGTGCCTCTTGTTTTATATGTAGATTGGATGAAGTGGTATTGCAATGAGTATTCAAGCATGGTATAAATGAGTGGCATGACATCAAATATGCATACATATAATCTGTGGAACTTGTTGATGACATGCACAATGGGCTGTTTTGAATTCATGCAGGAGGAGGCGGGGGAGTTGCTGATGTTGGGTAAGCACAATAAGGGATGCCACTGCAAGAAGTCAGGTTGTCTAAAGAAATATTGCGAGTGTTTCCAGGCAAACATTCTCTGCTCCGAAAATTGTAAATGTATGGACTGCAAGAATTTTGAGGGAAGTGAAGAGAGACAAGCTCTTTTCCATGGAGATCATGGTAACAACATAGCATTCATTCAACAAGCAGCCAATGCTGCCATAACTGGAGCTATTGGCTCCTCTGGCTATGCTTCACCTCCTGTATCCAAGAAAAGAAAAGGCCAAGAACTCTACTTTGGACTGACAGCCAAGGAACTACCCGCTCATAGGCCAGTGCCATTTCAACAGGTGAACCCACTCATTTTATGTAGAAATTTGGTAGAAATTAATTCAAAAGAAACACAACTTTATATTGCTTTTCACAAGAAGCTGTGTTAATAGGACTGCTCTTGTACTGATCATCCTGGTGTTGACGGTACTTAGCAGGCAAATCATATCAGAGTCGCTGCTCCTCCGCTACCGTCCTTCCCCATTGCTGGCGTTGGAACCCCATCATTGTTGGGTCCTTCAAAGTTCACATATAGGTATAATCTCTTCGATTCAATATAATGTTGTTGGCCGTCTTCTTGGACTTAGGACTGATATCCGTGTAATTGTTGAAGGTCTTTAATGGCAGACATCATTCAATCACAAGATTTAAAGGATCTTTGCTCGGTTTTGGTTGTGCTGTCGAGTGAAGCTGCCAAGACATTTCAAGGTATTATTATGGTTTTATCCTCTCATTCCTCTCTACCACTTTTTTTTTTTTTTTTTTTTTTTTTTTTTTTTTTTTTTTTTTTTTTTTTTTTTTTTTTTTTTTTTTTTTTTTT